AATGGGAAAACAATTGATAGGAAAGGGCGGCATTTTGCAAATAAAACTGATTTGAAGCAGTCATGAAAGCCCGAATACTGCACTCTGATTCATTGAAATGCGAAAGGAGGAAATAATTTGGTAATTCTTCAGATTTTCTCCACAATTCCACAAAAATTTTCAAGTTTCTTGAAAAAAATTAATATAAATTTCGAAAGATTATAGAAAATTTGAAAAAATTTTAGATGATTAGATGATGAAAGTTTGAAGTTTATGACATCGTCGAATAAAATTGTGAAAAAATCATGAATGAAGCGAAAACACTTCGAATTAGCGAAAGAAGATCAGAATTGACCCCATAATTTTTCTAGAAAAATAATTGAATACTTTTGTCAAGTTGCAAACGGAAATGAAGAGGGAGGCGAAGACAAAAAAATTATGGCCTGTGAGAAATTTGATAATTGTTGTTTTGCACTCTGAATATAATTTTGATTACAATAGTAATTAAAATTTCATTCAATGAGGACGGAAACTCAGAATTAGTGGATCACTTATTATAATATTTAAATTGAACAAGCAATGAACCGAGACGCATTGTTTTCATTAACTTTAACACTCAATAGACTAAAACGACGATAAATCATTAATTTTCGAAAGAAACAAAAAAAGCAAAGGCATAATAAATGGGCATCAACGTCGCGGCCGCTTGCGGCCGCGGCGGCGCTAGTCCAAATTATAAAGAGTACAGTAACTGCATATTTTCTCTGGCTTAAATGATACTTGATGTGTATCAACGCAAAAATACCAAGAGAACTTATTTACTAATCTTACCTGAGGATTCTTTTGGTGTGAAGACTATGAGAATCAGATAAGTAGCTCTCCAAGTGGAGACCACAGTTTGGGGCTGCGAAAAATGTATCCCCAAACCAAATGTATCGCAATTTACGAATTAATGGTTAGTTCCGGAGATATTCAACTCTGTATGTCAATCTATATCATTTCATATCTGAAAAACTATAAGACTCCATGAGACCTCATTTCAACAATCAAAATGGAACGATTCAGAAGTCCAATATATCAATCAATTTGTCAATCTGATCTGTGAATCTATTGATGACAAAGAAGAATAATCATACTCATAAGTAGAAAATGTGCAGTCACATGCTCGCTGTCACCTGCCTGTTTGCCCCTTTAGGGAATAAAAAATTCTTGGGCGAGAGTGAATCTGAAATTTTTTCGATTAAGACATCTTTCTTTTATACAATTTAATGATCATTCAATTAAATTTTGTTTGCCATTTTCTCTCTCTCTCGGAACACCATCTTTTCCATCTTAAAGATAGTCTCTCTTGTCCTTTTTCAGGTACTTTTTCTTTTATATTTCACTAAACGTCATTCTTCTCATCTACAATCATGAATCTCTTCTTTGAAACATTGATAATTATTCCGTTGAATATAAATCTCGTGTAAAAGTAGATATAGGAAAAAATGTTGCACAACCTTCGTCATTACTTTAAAAACTTTATATGAAAAAGTTCCTATGGATTTTACGCTTATTATGATTATTCAGATTATCGCAGAAGGCAGTAATTTTAAGAAAATATCTGAAGAGTTTTCTATTAAAAAAATCGTGTGAGATTTTTTCTACCGTGATTCATTCTTAAGACATTCATTAATTATGCTGAATATTTGAATAACAAGTCGTGATGGAAGGAAATACCATGGATATTTTTTGCATTTGTTTATGAGAATTGTTTTTATTGGAGTGGTTGGTAATGCTCTCTTTTAAAATTCCATTGTCAAGATAATCTCGTAATGGAAGGAATGCGAAGAGTCGTAACACATGAAAAATTAAATTGGATTCATCCTATAAGCAATTTTGATTAAGAAATTTCTGAATTATTTTTAAATCTGACAACTAGGGAACTGTAATTTGAAGAATAGCTGTATGAATGGGGTCTGATGAGCTAAATGCGACATTCCGTGGGATTTTCCGTAGGATAATTATCTAGGGCCTACAGGCTTACACATCTCAGAAGAGAATTTTCGTAAAAAATTTGCAAACGTCAACGCACTATATCTATAAATCTGCCTTGAAACAATTTTATTATATGGTCATTTATTGTGAATTCATAAGCGACATGAACGATTCAATATACAAACGTGGTCGAACAATTAAACAATCAATTAACAATTTTTTCAACAATAATTATTATCATTAATTAATTTATGAATTAGTAAATTCGATAGCGTACATCACTCAATAATTTTATTTTGAAATTATTATTATTTTTATTTTTATATCCGTGGAATTAGTTTTGTAGACAGCCTCAAGCGCAATTAATCGCAGAATAATTTTTCACATTTTTTCTTCTTGAGGAATAAATTTTTTCTTGGTTACTTTTCTATTAAACGCTTACTTACGAGATATTTCATTAAGGTCTAGTGAGGCAGTACAACTGATAGTGAAGTCAACATTGCTACAGTTGGGTATTTGCTATTCTTTAGGTCGAGTCATTCACTATTTTTGATTTTATGAAAAAATTCAAAATGGTCATAGGAGTTGGGTTTGTTTTATTTGTCAACCTCCAGGGTCAGGGACGTCTCTGGCTGTGTCCAAATGTAGCCAGTTCGTGTTATGCTACAGTGGGCATCGTAATATTTTCCTGGTGCTCTGCAGTAGGACCATCTTGGACATCTGCAACGGAATTTACTGTGAAATTCCTCTTTACACACTTCGTTCCACCAGCAGGTTCGCTATAACAAAAAGTTTAATAATGGTGAAGAATTGCAGAAAGAAGCTGCGTCTCTTCTCCGGTAGTAGCTCTTATGGTCTTTTTTTTCTATTCATTTTCGACATTACAACAAATAGTATATCCCAAATAAAGTCGTTATATTTTTTGTTATTGAAAATTATCTGGACTACGAAAAGAATTATTTTACTTCAGAGAATCACAAAAAATAAAGAAATCATTGTTTGTCCCCAACTTTTTCCTCATTCACAACTACTATTTGAATAACTGTCTCAATTAACCAAAAAGAACGACCAGTTTTACGTCTGAGATAATTTCCTACACAAAAGTTCTCTCGAAATTGTCACTTAAGATTGGCCAATCCATGAAGGATCAATTACTTTGGTTGGATGTCAAAAATGATTTTTTTCGATGAGACAATTATGCTAAAAAGGGAAATTGTAAGCAATACTCAGAAAATTGGAAAATCCTTTTGCGTTAATTTTGCGCTTTTTCTCAAGGTCTGTTCCCGACACTTATCATCAATCGAGAAACATGAAAAACTAACCATATGAAAATCAAGAATTTCCTTACTGTCATCGCCTATTGGCCAGTAGAGATTGCTAGACATTTTTATCCGAAAAAAATTCTACGTCGTTTTCTAAAAATTCGCAATTCAAGACTGCGCAAAGGTGTCAAGAGATGTGATGAAATGTGAAAGGATTATCTTATTAGCTGCATCATGATAAAATTCTTCACACGGAAGGTCTCTCAACATTATTTGCAGAGATCCTTGATTAATAATTATTCAATGTTCTTTGAATACCTCAGCCAAGTAACCTCGGACACTCTGATCGCTGTAATTCCTCTTTGTAATCATATGCCTCGACCTGACAGTGTAAACAACAGCGCAGAGCACGATAAGAACGAAGAGATGTCGCCCAATATTTCCCTGCCAATGGAAACAAAAAAACTAGTAACCATTCACGAAAATTAATTATCTTTTTTTTATCATAATTTCATGCGCTCGACTTTTTTTTCAAACATTCCACTCACACTGTCCGCCATGCTCCCTGATATCCTTTATAGCGCAAGCTCCTCGCTCTGGTTTGGCGACATTTGCCGAGGCTGCTGACGGATGGATGCAGAAGTGGCCAGGTGATTCACTGCATTCAGTTTGAAGTGATTATCCGTGGGGAATGAATTAATTAACATCACTCTGAGGGGTATTATTTCGAGCTCTCATGTGCTTGTCGCCGGTGGTTTATGAACATTTTACGATGCGAAGAAATTGCACTCGAAAAGTCGAAGGATACGGGCATGCGTATTACAATATGCGAAACTGAGATGTGTACCTTTTTCTTATAAATTAGAGCATCAAATCATTCATGTCATACGAGTTCATTAAATTTCATGCAAATATTTGTATATATTCGCTATTTATCCCGTACGATTTTTTTTGCGCGTTTCTTTTTCAATAGAAAATGTTCAAAATATAATGAAATTCTTCGTGACATCCTGACATTCGATTTTTCGGGTCATTATAATAACTTCTCTGTGGATCAGAGAAATATGTAAAAAACATTTATGTAATTATAGACCACATTGATTTTGAAAAAAAAAATTTCATCTTTGTGGAGCGAATGAGATAAACGAAAAACATATTCATTATTATTTCGGTATCCGTCTTCATCTCTGATATATTCCTCAAAAACTGGACGCCAAAAAATACTTACTTAATTCATAATAATATTTTTACTACTCCACTGCTGAATAGAATGAATTTATCAAATTTGTTTATTTATTAAGGAATTGGTTTCTTTGAATGTTTGAATAACTGGTGGATTGTCAAATGCGCGAGTGATCTAGAACAAATGAAGGCAAATTCTCATGGAAATATTGAGCCACTATTTGAAGCTTCTGCCTTCTGAGACCTATTCTCGAGTGAACCGGAAATATTTCTATTAAGGATGTTTATCCAAAATCGCGAGTATTACAAAAAATTGATTTTTTTCAACTGAAAGATGAAGTTAATCTCTTTATCGTGATAACAATTTCAATCCACCAAAACCCGCGTCTATTATTTAGAAATGGAGTGGACAAAATGCACCAAACGCATGCGCTAACATGTGCTTATTTGGGATAGAATCTTTGGAATATTTCCTCTTTTTGCACGGGTACCCCAAATTTTTTTCTGGCCATTCGATTCAGCATAGTTTTGCACATTACCTTCTACTTTTATTCTTATTTTTAGAGTCTTATAGTAGGTGAATTATAAATTTCAACATGAATCCCATAAGAGCCCGTGTATAAGGACAAATTTGTTTAATTCTGGCGAGACTATTGCGATTAATTTTTTTTTTAACATCAAAGAAGGTAGTTTCATATGTTCTGCTATCAGCCAAAACAATTATAGAATTTTCCTTGAACATGAAAAAATAAGAGTTGCTGAAAATGGCTGCTGAAAACATCCTTAACTGCAATCGTTCCTCAAACGCAACGCCTATAGGTTGGTGTATCAGACGATCGGTCTGCACAGAGAGAAAAAGGGGGTTAGCTTCAGAAAAAAGTTTCTAAACTTTAGAAACTGATTTCTAAACTTCGGTTTTGTAAAATCTAGAAACTTTTTTTCAAGTTTTAGAAAAAAAATCGGTTAAAATTAATCATCAAAATGGAGATTAATTTTAAATCAAAATATACTTAATTTTAGAAGAAATATTTTTTTTAATGTAGAAAATTTCTTTAATTTTTGAGGGGGGATTTTGCAGAGAAGGGAACGGGTTTGTTAATTGAAAATTAACAACCAAAAAAATTGACTCAGTGAGTTTTAAAAAAAAATCTCCAAAACTAAGGGGACACTGTGTGGTGGACACTACAACAAAACTAAACTAGTATCGAGAATCATCCTGGTTCCCCTCCTACCTACTCCAAATCCCATTTGCTTGAGACGGCCTCAAAGATCAAGCGCTCTCAGCGGTCAACCGGGAAAGCCAAGTAGGACAATGTCTGCTTCTCGTAGTTGACCCTCATAATCATCAGCGTTCTTGTGCTGTCCTGCAAGAGACAGGACAAGCACAATGGTCGAACGGTTGACCCTCGACATTATCCCGCCTGTCTCTGTCGCTTGATCCTTGTGACCATTTGAGTCAATTATTTGAGTCTCGCAAAATATGAATCTGGTGACGTTTGAACTTCGCGAGGTATGATCTTTGCAGGATGTGACTTAAAAAACATTTGACTTTCACAAGGTGTGACCCTTGCAAGGCAAAAGCCTATGATCGTTGCAACAGTTGACCCGCGCGACGTAAAATAAAAGCACCTTTTCATTATTTTGCTCGATTCATGATCGGTCGAGCTGTCGACGTTCGACATGGGTCAATATTTAATCCTGTTTTACTTTGCTTCCGAATGGAAGCATTGTAATCGGTCGATTTTTCGATTCACTAATTTTGCTTGGAAATGATGTAGAATGGTCTGAAACGTGAAAATACAAAAATTGAGGACCATGTATGTATGTGTGTCCGAAAGTGTGGGTCAATTTTGTCGAAAATTTTTATAAATCACGATAAATAAAGGACTAAAGTTGAAGCTAAAAATCTGAAATTTTGTCACATAATTGAAGCATTTTTGGGCGCAGTTTCAGCTCAATCGCCCCAGTAGTTTCTGAGATACAGCAATTTCTCAAAAATCTTTGTTCCTCAATATCTCAAAAACTATATGACCGATTTGAATTTTTTTGACGCCAAAATCTTCTTTGTGATAATATCTATTGGATCAAATCATAATATTGCTATGTAACTATCGACAGTTCGGTAATAATTGGCATTTTTCATTTTTATGAAAAAATCGTTGTACGCACGATAGCGCCCCCAAAAATTAAGATAGAAAGTTGAAATTTAGTACGATTGTAGTCAATCGTACTAAATTTCAACTTTCAAATTGTCTTTATGATATTACAGGATGGGATTGTGGATGAGCGAAATCGGATGAGTAGTTTAGGAGATATTTAACTTTTTGTGAAAAACTGTAATGCTCAATATCTCCGAAACTACTGGTCCGATTGACTTTTTTTTCAAAATATTCGTCATGGTATCTTCTATCAAGATCAATCAAAATATGCATACCCTGCCATACAAAGTTTTCGAGACATCAGCGTTTTTCTAGTTTTTGCTTCCAAATGGAAGCTTTGCAATCCTTGAATTTTTCGATTTTCTAATTTTGCCTGGAAATGATGTAGAATGGTCTGAAATGTAAAAATACGAAGTTTGGCGACAATGTCTGTCTGTCCCCCCCCCCTCCGCAACTTTTTGGAAATTAGGTTTTAGAAAATACAACACTAAGAGGGCTAAAAAAATTCAAAAAAATTTGAAATTTTGTCAGATTATAGGTCCTAACTAGGACTAACTCTGGGCACAGGATCAGCTCGATCGGTCCAGTAGTTCCTGAGAAAAAGCCATTTCTTTTTGAATCTTTTTTTTGCAAATATCTCAAAAACTAATCGGCCGATTTCATTTTTTTTTCAAAATGTTCGTCTCAACTCCCTCTATCTGGATCAATCGAAACCTATATAGCCGTTCCTGCAAAGTTTTTGAGATATTTCCACTTTTCTGTTTTTTTTCTCCAAAAATCGTTGTACGCTCTCTAGCCTTCGCAAAATGGAGATATCAACTTCAAATTTGGACAGGATCTCCGTCTTATGACAAGGACGGTTGGGATTGAAACTGGGCTGAATCGGCCCAGCGGTTCCGGAGATATTCTATTTTTTATGAAAATCGATTATGTGTAATATCTCGAAAACTAGTGGACCGATTTCACTTTTTTTTTTCAAAATATTCGCCTTGTTTGTCTTTTCATAAAAAATCTTGTTCGCACGATAACTTGAAAAAAATTGGAATAGCGAGTTGAAATTTGGTATGGTATTAGCTCTTATAATATTAAAGGTTGGTATTCTGGATGGGCGCAATCGGCCGAGCGATTCTTGAGATATTTAACCTTTTGTGTAATTACGTTTCATCAAATATCTCACAAACTACTCGACGGATTTCAATTTTTTTTCAAAATACTCGACTCGACGGCCACTATTTAGATCAATCAAAATATATACATGCGTCCATACAAACTTTTCGAGATATCGTCGTTTTTCATTTTTTTTCTCATTTTCGTACGCACGATACCGCGACAAAAAATGATGACTGCAAGTTGAAATGTGGTAAGACCACGGCTCTCATAGTATTAAACGTTCGTCTTTTGAATGGGCGCAATCCATCGAGCGGTTTCGGAAATATTCAAATTTTTATGAAAAACTATTTCTTCNAAAAAATGATGATTGCAAGTTGAAATGTGGTAAGACCACGGCTCTCATAGTATTAAACGTTCGTCTTTTGAATGGGCGCAATCCATCGAGCGGTTTCGGAAATATTCAAATTTTTATGAAAAACTATTTCTTCAAAAAGTTGAAGAATCATATATATATATATGCCTGGCGCAGGGACAGAAAATCACCACGAATACATTCGGAAGCTTACTACCAATGGAATTGGTAGAAGAAAAAATAATGATGATAATAATAGCGTAAAAAGTAACGGTCAAATGTCTTCTGTCAAATAAGCTCGAACCCCTGCTTGTTTAAATTAAAATCCAATGCGGGCTCTACAATACGCGTTAAACATGGACTAAATATCTGAGATTATGGCTACTAGTTTGCATGATTGGCCCACATTCATGTATAAAATTTTGTGTCAATCGATTCAATACATCCTGTTTTTGCTTCCGAATGGAAGCTTTGCAATCGTTCGATTTTTTGATTCTCCAATTTTGCTTGGAAATGATGTAGAATGGTCTGAAACGGAAAAATACCAAGTTTGACGACCATGTCTGAATGTGAGCACGTTCACTACCTCCTTCCCGGTGGTCAACTTTTAGAAATTTGAGTAATAAGGTGACTAAAGTATTTCCAAAAAATCTGAAATTTTGTCAGATCAGAGGACTTACTAAGGGCTAACTCTGTGCATAATTTCAGCTCGATCGGTCCAATAGTTTTTGAGAAAAAACGATTTGTATTTGAATCGTTTTTCGCGTATATCTTTAAAACTAGTGGTCCGATTCGACTTTTTTTTTCAAAATATTCGTCTCGATGTCCTTCACCTAGATCAATCAAAACATATCCACCCGTTCCTACCAAGTTTTCGAGATATTTCCGCTTTTCTGTTTTTTCATTAAAATCCATGTGCGCGCTCCAGCGCTCGCGAAAATTGAAATATCAACTTGAAATTTGGAAAGAATCTTCCTCTCATGATAACGGTTGGTAT